TCGTTAGGGAATGCAGTGAAACGAATTTATTTCAAACCAGTGGCTTGTCTGGGTCTTCTTCTATTACTTGAGGTCATTCTGAATAACGTTTATTATTATTATTATTGTATTGTTAATAATTACTGTTATTATCGTTTCAAAAATTTTGAAAAAGAAATATCTCCAACCTCAGTGTACATTCAGGAAATGATAAAATTATTGCAACCATTGGCGATGGGTCGTTTGATTCGTTATTTCCGATTCGATAAACCGTTATCGATGCAAGAGGCGTATATGGCGCTGATTGCGTTATCACTCGTCAGTGTTCTTATACCATTGATACATCATCCGTATTTCTATGAACTGCAGAAGAAGGGTTTGGAGTTGAAAGTGGCTGCGTGTGGAATGATTATGCAAAAGGTTTCGTTGATTTTTAGATTACAGTTTGAATATTTTGTAAATTTTCACGAATTTTCGTATACATCTATTCATGTTTCCCATGCTGAACGTCTATTTATGGACGTTTTTTGATGGAATATGGAATAAATTTTGAGAAGTTCGCTTGATTTATTTGATTTTTTTGATGTTGCCTAATAAAATATCCTTGACGTTTATAATAGACTATCAAACAACATTAATTATGTTATATTGCTCAATCAAATAACCCTAATTATTTCATTGAATTTAAGACACCTAATAAACATCAAATAAATTAACGATATGTTAATGATATTATTCATTTGTCTATGCATGCTTATTACCTAGATGCGAACAGATGAATGAGTGTATAAATTGAGTGAAATTTAAGGGACTTCAATTGAGCAGTTCAGCCCTACACAAGACCACTGTTGGTCATATAGTAACGTTGATGTCGACGGATGTAGCGAAGTTCGATATGATGTTTATATTCGTTCATTATTTGTGGCTATCACCCCTGATTCTTGTCTCATATACGGTTATGTTATGGCGTGAGATTGGCTTCTCTTCGGTGGTTGGCTTTGGTGCACTTATAGTATTGGTGCCGATTCAAGGGTATTTCAGTCGAATGATGGGAAGATGCAGGTTTGTCTTTTAATGTTTATGATGTTGTTGGGGTTATTTCTATACGTTTATCCATCAGAATGAATATATTTGCTTGTTTTATATCTTTTATTCAGCATATTCAATCGAAGAGAGAAAAGAGTCAACTGATTGTTTTGATTATAGTGATATTATATTTATTGTATATTATATTGTATTATATATTTATAAATATCCTAAATTCAGTTGGATATTTATTGTATTGTTGAAGAGAATTACGTGAAAACGAAATGTTTATGACTATGATAAACGAGATATTTGCTGAGTAGATGAAGGATTCTTAAGATAGGTGAAAATTAAAGGTTAACGAAAATTTTGACATTCGTTTGCACTGGAATATTTGGTTGGTAATTGATTTTGATAGCATTTGATATGTATGAAATAATGGTTTAGTCATTATTTGATTATAAAGGTATAATGTTGTGGAAGAAGATGATAATAAAACGATAATGATAGAGATGGTAATAGGGCTGGTAATACAGATCATAATGAATAAGTAATAGTGATTGCTTGCAGGCGTGAAATTGCAATGAGAACTGATAAACGTGTCAGTGTTATGAATGAAATATTGAACGGAATTCGAGTGATTAAGATGTACGCATGGGAGGAGGCATTCGCGAATATTGTCGATGAACTGCGACAGTAAGTTATTGGAGGAATTTGTTGGAGAGGTTTATTGTGGGATAATAATAAATGATGAATTTTAGTGGTGATTATAACTGGAAAGCAACTGAATGGTCATTTCGTAATGAATAGTGAATGAAATTCGTGAAAATGTTTGAAAAACAGATTTCGTTCTTTCTTTTTTGGATGTTCTTCGTTGAGGTGTTTCCGTCGTTTAGTCGTTTTGGGGGTTTGTTTTTTAATGCATTACTGAAAATGGGTATTGTTTGACGATATTTGTTGTTGTTGTTGTGGTTATTATAATGATTGGAAATTGTTTGGATAATTGAATAGATTGTTGGAAATTTTAGGCATGAACTGAAAAAAGTGCGAGAGA